TCATGAATTATGGTATACTTTTGAAACGACCGTCAATTGAATTACCTTTATTTATACGTCGCTGACTGACTGTCACAGTGAATTTAAACTTTTTAAATTATTTATATCGACCAGTTCCAGACCGATTGAATAGCAATTTTTTTAGAATATTTATTTGACACGTGTTGTCCATCTCATCATGAGGTGACTGTTTTATTTATTGGCCACAGTTTGGCCCCCTCCTGTTTCTTACATTTTTAAACACTTTTGTATCCGGATCACAGGTTTGCCACATGTTATGGATTGTCTTGTTAAGATTTTCTATAATGTACACAGTTACGCTTGACATGTCGACTTTTCCACAATCTTACTAAGGAATAGCATTGCATCACAAAAGTTTTTTTTTTTTTTTTTGGTCTAAACCATTTCTTATAAATGTCAATTTGTAGATACGCCGTCTGTAAGTCGACCTACATTTTTTGTCACTGTGTAGACACCTTCTATTTATAGGCCGATTGTTAGGCCAGAAAGATAATAGATGAGTAAATTAACCTAGCCCAGTACAAGCCGCTCACTGAACACTCTCGGGAATTGCATTGTATATCTTGTCGCCTTTAGGGCCGCTGTCTGGCGACATAATTTTTTGTCACTGTGTAGACATCTATTTATAGGCCGATGTTTTGGCCACAAAAAATATAATTAGTAATAACCTAGCCGGTTCAGGCCGCTCCCTGAACAACCTCGGGAATTGCTTTGTATATCTGTCAGCCCCTAAGAGGCCGCTGTTCTGAACAGCTCATGAAATAGCTTTACTATATGTGTCGCCTTTTGAGGCCCGCTGGCTGGTGACAGCTGATGAATTGATTTGTTATATATGTACGTATTGTCGCTGTCCGGACAGCTCATGAATTACTTTATTTGTTAATATAGCCTTCAAACCACTCTCAGAATAAGTCATGATATTCATGCTGTGTATAGCCTTATACGGCCTAATGTCAATCAAGTCATGATTGTTTATAGTTGTCTATAGCCTTATACGCCCGTCTGTCTTTACAACTTTAATAATTCCCATGCAGTATATAGCCCCATCGGCCCCCACTTACTGGCATCCAGTTGCTGTAGCCCCCATCACCACCACTGTGCCACGGGCCCCTGTACCTGCCTTCTCATACTGCTGCCAGATCCATCCTCTGCCATGTGGCGTCTATTGAACCCTCTGCTCACCTCTTGCTGGGATTCCAGTTTTTACAACATAGGCCTGTGGTAATGCTTGCATCCGAATACTGCCTTGCCTCCACCGCCACCCTGCGCCATGATGGCCTCTGTCGTCTGCTCACCTGCTGGCGGACGGCTTCCCAGCTTTTTTAAACTAGCCCCTGTGTAATTGTCTACCCGGAATACGTGCTTGCCCTCCAACGCCACCCTACGCCATGTGCCACTTTTCGGGTCTCCTCACACCTGCTCGCCAAGGTCCATACTGAGATTCATGGCCCCCAGTACCGGACTCCTCAAGGAAACGTGGTTACAGCGGGGTTTGCATCACTTAAACGGCAAAGTCGTTTAGACTAACTAGCTGGGACGTTTCGGTGTTTGTGCGCATCTAAGCCTGACACCAAAGGTCAGCACAGGACCCTGTTAGTACTCGCTCAAGCATGGCTGAAACCAAACCATTCCTCTACCAACAAAATGGAACGCCAAGACCTGCCCAGGGACTCGTAACTAGATTGCACACGGAAGTAGTAGAGTCCGTTATCGGAATTAAATATACAAAAACTGCCACACACCAAAAAGAGTGGGCCCATTTTCTGCCAACACTTAATTCCAGAAAGAGAGAACAACCCTTTTCATAATACGGCTCCCCCGCCCCCGTAGGACGGTTTCACAGTATGCCACATTCAGTCGATTTAAGACGCTAGCTCCCACTTTCCAGTGGTCTCTGAACCGTCGATATACCATTGTAAGTGGGTCCAGCTTTGAAGCTATATTCCCTCCGGAGCACTGACACTGTTGCCCGTCCGTCTGATATGCCTTTAAAGTTTTCAGTTTTCAACCCATTATTTCCCCACAGAAGCCAAACTCTTGAGGTATCCCAGAAGCTGCTCAGCGGGTCCTGGGCAATAAAAGCTCCCTGTTCGCAGGTTTGAACGTCTTATGTATGGAAGTATACTACGGTAAATGATCTTCGCACCCACGTCATTTTACCATCATAAAATTTCTGCCATGCATCCTGCAATCACAACGCTGACTGCCCGGATCGCCACTCAGCCCAATGGACTCTTGATAGTCCCGTTCTCCCCATAACAAAAGGGGATGCACTGCCTGTGCTGGGGGGACTTTTTAACATAAGGCCTCAGTGTAATGGCCTTCAATTTAAGCTGCTTACGCTTTTTTCCCCGCCACTTCCTGCCATGGCCCCTGTAACCCCCCCCGCCTCCTCTTGCTGCTGCAAGGTCCAGAGTTGTCTCATGGGTCCCTGTACGGCCTCCCATTGGCTGCTCTGACTTCAAATCGCCAGACTCTGCCCATGAGCCACTTTCAGGTCATCCTTACACTGTTGGTGGGTTCCATTTTTGGTCGAATAGGGTGCTGTATGAGCCTTTCCAATGCTTTGCTGCCTCCACCGCCTCCCTTGCGCCAGTGTGCCTCTGTCGATCTGCTTCACCGCTGCAGACGGCTTCCGCTTTTTAAACCGAGGCCTTGTGTTTGGCCTTCCGAATACTGTCTGCATACCACTGCAACCCTGCGCCATGTGCACTCTGTCGTCTGCTGCAACCGGGCTGCTGCCAGTCCAATACTGCATTCATGGGCCCCCTGTACCCGCTCCTCATTGAACCGTGGTTCCAGCGGGTTTTGCAATCACTTAACGGCAAATCGTTTTGACAAACGCCTGGGACGTTCAGTGTTGTGTTCCAGTAAGCCAGACCACCAAAGGGCAGCACAGACCTGTTTATTACTCGCCTCAAGCATGGCTGATACAAAAACAAGGTCTCCTACCACAAATTGGGACCCAGACCCTGCCCAGGGTCTCGTAAGTAGATTGCATGGAGGAGTATGAGTTCTTTATTGGAATTAACTTGTGAGGACATTTAAACCTAAGCCTGTGTATGCCGTTCAATTGTAAGCTGCTTCTGCTCCGCCACTCTGCCAATGGACCTCTAGATAGTCCGACTCCCCTTGGCAGCTGCGGTGGGGACGTTTTAAACATAAGGCCGCTGTATGGCCCTTCAAATTTTAGCTTGCTTACGCTCCGCCACTCCAGCCATGGGCCCCTGTAACCTGCCTCCTCATGCTGCTGGCATTAGGCCAGTAATCTGCCATGTGGCCCCCGTACCGACACCTACATCCTCATGCTGCTTGCCAGGGCCCGTAATGCAGTCCATGGGCCCCCTGTACCGCCTCCTCCATGCTGCTGCCAGGCTCCAGAGTGTGTCATGGGTCCCTGTAACGGCCTCCCCATTGCTGCTGTCCTCCATCCGGCCACGAACTCATGCCCAATGTGCCACTTTCAGGTCTCCTCACACTGCATGGGTGTGTTTCCATTATGTCCATAGGGGTGCTGTAATGGCCTCCCATTGCTGCTCGCCTATCCACACTGTGGCTCCACAAACTCTTGGTTTTGGCCCCAGTGACTGCACCAAATGATTGAAGTGTGGCGGTGACTTCTAAGGTTTTCCGAGACGGCAAACTCATCTGCAATGTCATACTGACTGACAAGTAATATTTCTCTTCCCCAGCAGACACCAAAGGTCATATAAAATTAAAGGTACAGTGTTCTGCACTAATATAAAGGCTCTCTGAAGCCTAGAAACACCCTTTTTATAAGCTAAATTCGCAGCGATATATATTCGGCCTTCGAAGCGAATTTATTCGGCGAATCAGCCGAACCGAATTTATTAATAATGATCGCTCAATCTCTAGTCATAACCATAAGGGAAAATACCCTGAAGAGTCCCTTTTCAATATAACCAAAAATTACAGCAGTAAGACCAAACAAATAGTCTTTATGCAAAAATTTAATCTCTGCCTAGCTTATACAGAAAATCTGGCCATAAATAAATAGGTCTGAAGATTACATAGAATTGTGCCTAACTTTGATTATTTAAACATAAACTAGCAAAAAGCAATTCCTATTCCTTGAACAAACAAAATTATTGTCAAGGAATGTCAATTAACAGTGTGGTGGGGAGCCCAGAACGAGCACATTGGAAACTTGTAAAATGCAAAGGTGAGCATTGGTAAAGAGTGAAAGGCATACGGGGGAGTCCAGCATAAGGGTTAAAGAGAAGGGGGAGGATGTCTGCTCAGGTGTAGTTGATAGAGAGTGGGGTTAGTGGTGTGCAGGTTGTAGTGTTTGGGGAAGAAAATTGATGGTCACCATGGTGGTGACCGTGGCGTTTTCAAGCAATGAATGGCGAGTGGTACTATGCAGTGAGAAGAAACTTCCGAGTGTCCTTTTCAATGGAAGATGTCTTCCAAATCTATAAGCACTTGTTAAAAGCAAGATCGCAATACACTTGTAGGGATATACCAGTTTTGAAACATATTATGAAACCTTGTAATGCTGGCTCTAAAATCAACAGAAATTATTTTATTGATCCATATTACTATTTTAAAAGAATAAAATGAATACCTCAACTGTTTAACCACTTTTTCACATGATCAAATTAGATAATAAAATTCCCAAGTTTGTGAATGGTCAGTGGTTTGAGACTACATCATCCTCTGTTAAGCCTCCAGAGACATGTGGTCAAAGCACAAAAAAAAAATGTTAAATATGAGAAGCAATAATCATATAATAATTAAAGGCCAGATATACCATGAGAGACAAATATGCCATAGCAGAGTCCCAGCAACTCAATCCATAGCTCCGCTACATAGGCGCCATTTGTCATCAGGCTGGCTGGTGTCAGATACTGTGACTCCATAAAAATTCCTGTAGTCACAGAAGCTAAACAATTCGTCTCCATATATTGCATCCATAGCATTCTCATCAATGGTGTCCAGCACAAGTCTTTGCTTATGGCAGATCTGTACTTGCTTCTGTAGTGGCCCACAAATAGAAAGCTTATGAAAGAAAAAAAAGCAAACAAAAAAAACAAATGTACCGTATAAACACGAGTATAAAGCCGACCCGAATATAAGCCGAGGTAACCTAATTTTAACCACAAAAAACTGGGAAAAACTATTGACTCGAGTGGTAAGCCGAGGGTGGAATGAGGCCACCTACTAGTCAATGTAAAAAATAAAGATAGAGAGAATAGTGCCCCATCATTGGTGTCAGTGGGAAGGAATAGCACCCCATCATATGGTAAATCAGTGGGAAGAAATAGTCGCCCCATCATTTTGTGTCAGTGGGATTGAATAAGCCGCCCCATCATTGGTGTCCATTTGGGAGTAATAGCGCACCAATCAATGGTGTCAGTTGGAGGAATAGCGCCCCATCATTGGGTTGTCAGTGGGAGGAATAGCGCCCCATCAATGGTGTCAGTGTGGAGGGAATAGCGCCCCATCATAGGTGTCAGTGGGAGGAATAGCGCCCCCATCATTGGTGACAGTGGGAGGGAATAGCGTCCCCATCATTTGTGTCAGTGTGAGGAATAGCGCCCCAACATTGGTGTCAGTGGTAGGAATAGTTGTCCCAACATTGGTTGACAGTGGAGGAAATAGTACTCAGTCAGTGGGGGATGGAATAGTGCCCTCCCCCATCGTTGGTGTCCATTGGGGGGGAGGAAGAGTGCCCCATCATTGGTGACAGTGGGAGGAATAATGCCTCCAGTCATTAGTAATCGTGACACTCGAATGAGTGGGGCACTATATCCTCCCACTGACACCAATGACACTTGCTGAACCCCTGTACTAGGTGATGGTACAGCTGCAGCCATCATATTGGGTGCAGCATCCCACCTCTGCACTGCTACAACTTACCGGCTTTTCCCTCACTCGATGTTTTGTCGGGGGACTGCACCACGTCTACCGCTCCTCTCCCAGTGAATTGGCCGCCTGTGTGCCATTCCTGAGCTACACATCTGGCTGCCAATCACCGGTGAGGAGGCGGAGCCGAGCGGCAAGGAGTGAAGGAGTGGCCGGAGTGACTGGAAGGAGTCAGCGCATCCTGGATGTATCTTCGTGGGAGCCAGGTTAAAGAGACTTTGCAGCCCCTCCTGCCAACCCCTGTACTTGGTAGACTCGAGATAATAAGCGAGGGGTGGCCCGTTTTCAGCACAAAAAATGATTACTGAAAAAACTCGGTCTTATACTCGAGTGTAAATATACGGTAACTGTAGTTATAAAAAAATTTAGAGTACAGTACACACCAACTAATAAAAAAACCCCTCTTACCCATCAGCATCCAGTGCTGACTTTGAGTGTGTCATCCTCAAAGAGAACTGAAACTGTGAAACTCCACCCGCACAAGAGTAAAGATGCGTATAAGAGGCCTCAGGTGGAAGTATTATACAGATCCTGAGGAAGTCATCCACGGGTAGAGAAGGCTCAGATAATCTTACCATAGCTCTATAAGAACAATTAAAAGTAAAATATGATTGTCACACTGTATAAAGCAATGTATCTTAGTGAGCGCTAAGCCACAGCAAGAAAAATGAAACACAAATTATATTTCATGTTTGTAAAAATAAGTGGCAAAAATTAGTTCAATTCTAAATGTGAATTTTTAGAAACCAATAAGAACTTGTGCCCAAGAGCTCCACTTTGCTGGCTTTAAAACAAAACATAAATTCACATGCAACCTCTAAATGCGTTCTAATTCCCACTTACTAAAAATTCCTAATCGCCCAACCGTATAATTGGGTGTAACATTTAACATATTCAGCACCTCCAACCTACACCTCCCCATCCCTGTGACAGCAGCAGGGGTTCACTTCCCCCCGTATTTATAAAAAAGGGTGCAGCTGTGCATGGGCTCCACACCTACCATTGCGTCCATTCACTCAGAAATCTGTGAATGAATGAACTTCAAGTCCTGTGCCACCGCAGCAGATGGCATGTAAATCTCAATGAACTACAAGGCGCACGAGACCCGTCGCCCTCATAGTTCACTTATGCTTCCTGCAGCTCAGTATCTGTCTGCCCATATGGGAGGTAAGGGCAAAAAGCCCGGTCATGCAGTATCATGACAGAGCATGACATTTGCCCCTTATTTTTTTTTTTTTTTTTATCTCTACTGATCTCGAAAAAAGTGCTGAAAAAAAAGTTTTTTTTTTTTTTTTTTTTTTTTATTTTTTTTACTCGCAAAAAAAGATGTGCATTTATTTTTTTTACTGAATAAATTAAATATATAAAAATATATTAATAAAATAAACAAAAATAAAAAACACAACGCACAAACACACACAAACCCAATACTACATACACACACACACAAGAACACCTCCGGATCCCGGTCAGAAATGCCTCAGGCCCCCTAGCCAGCAGCAGGCCAGACACAAAGAAGCTCTTACTCTCCCAGCACGACAGGCCGCAGGCAGCATCCCCCCTCCCTCTGCAGCTGCTACTAGCTCAAAGAGCACAAGCCTCGGACACAGTGCCAGACACTGTACTCCAGCATGATTAATGTCTCCTCAGCCACCCATACATTATCTTTGAGAGACCTTCATGCTGTGGCTACGGACATTAAGGTCATGTTTCACCACTGCCCTAAATGACCTACGTGATGACCTTCACACTCCTTGGGCACTAGACTAGAGGGGGTGGAAACTCTCCTACAAACAAAATACGGATGCCAAAGTTTGATATACAGCAGATGACAGCATCACACGCTTCAAATATCCGAGAAATTTTACAGACACATTTGAGGACTTAAGTTAATAACCGTGCACGCAGACATAATATTCGACTCCGCAGCCTATCAGAATCTGTGGAAACTTGGCTCCGAACGATATTCGCAGTGGTGGCCATCTTTAATGACCTTCTAGGTCGTCCGCGCTCTGCGACTTTAAATTGACCTGGATCGTGCACACAGAGCGCTCCGTCCCAGGGGCAGAGACTTGACGACCCACCCAGAGATGTAATATGCTGCCTAGTTCGTTTCTCGCTTAAAGGAGGACATCCTCAGAAGCGCCCAGAGAAAGAAGACATCTCCTGTATCGGGTCGGAAATATCTCTATTCCAAGATTTATCCAATCTGACCCTACAACAAAGGCGGGAACATTCGCCCTTTACTGGAGACTCTGCGCTCCCACACACATACCCTACAGGTGGCGATTTTTCCTTCTGCCTCTCTACAAGCAAACGGGCGCAATGTCAATCTGCAAGTTTCCTGAAGATATACCCCAATTTTTGCGCCTCTCTGGATATACCACTGATCAACCTTCCTGACTGGTACAGTACCATGCAGCTTCCATCTGCCCCAGAAACCAGACTGGAAACCAATGCAATAGATTGGCAAGGTCCACTCTCTCGTCGACGCCGCTCGCATTCCCCACGACCCCTCTGAAACTCCCGAAAGAGGCTCTACTGCCATCTCTAGCCAGAAACGGCCTCTCCTGCACACCGAAGGCCCCGAAATGAAGCTTAGGAGTCTTGGACTCCCATTTTCTCATGGCTCTCCACAGCAAACTACCAGCTTACTGCTGGCTCCAAATCAACACACATCACCTCCGCAGTACTTCAAGAGAACCCTTTGGTTTCTGTGCTCCCACCATTCTGGGCCTAGGATCTCCCACCCTGGAATCCCTCACACACCTGTTCCAGCCTGAGCATTCGGGACACTTTGTTGCATACGCATTCGTATGCCTACAGATGCCACCAGGGCTTCATTCCGCATCCCTCGCCTTCCACATGGCGGCACGAGCGCCACGGCCCATATCGCTGTGCCTCCCTTTTCTGAAGATCTTTTTTTTTTTTTTTTTTTTTTTTGACTCCGCCATTGATACCTCAGACCGTGGTTGCCAGCCCTTACATCCGGGTCTCCAGTTCCAACAGGCTCTTTCCACAATTCCCGTTTCAAATCCATCTACACCCCACTGTAGTAGAGGACCTCTGGAAGATCCCTGCTCTCTCGCACTAACCTTCCATCCAGTCCAGGACTTAGCCTTGATGCCTCCGAGGTTTTCCGAGCGTCTCGGTGAGGGTCCCTTGACCCCTCCTGTTTGCACCGCTCTCAACTCGCCTTGAACTGCCCACCAGGGATCACTTGTAGAACTCATCGGATATCCTTATAGTATAATTTGAATGGAGCTGGGGTTTTGGGTTGTTGTTGCTATTATTGTCTCATGGTTGTTAATTTGTGAGCGAGCATCAACTCAATAAGCCTTCTGGATGATAGCCCCCTGTTGGAGTTTGTTAACACCTCTCCCGCTTTGTACCGTCATCAATTCCATTCATAGGACTAGAGCACCGTCTCTTCACGGAATCCATGATATTCTCCGCCTCCGCCCTTACCTCTCCTCCCAGACGTACTTGAGGTGCTGCTCGACTCCCCTGATGCTTTTGGAGCCCAAGCTGGTTCATTTCCGGGTTTTACCTTTAATGTACTGTGTTATACATTGTTTGCTGGCGGCCTAGTTGGTCAGTGTTTGTAGATCTGCCTTCACATGTTATTTTTTATGTTACCGTTAGGTTTTTTCCATTTCCATTGCTTCTGGTAGGTTGTAGTACAGCCTACCCCCTCAAGAAGTGAACTTGGGATACTCGCATTGGCCTTACCTATTACTTTGACATTGTGAGTGATATCATTCCCTGGCCTGCTCCCGACCACATTTTTCACTGAAGTGATATCTCTGACTGCACAGGTCACGATTCAGTCTATACTCCACTCATTTTTACATAGGTGACATGTACCCGCACTTTATCCGCTGTGTACTGTGGCCGGATACCTGTCCCTCACAATGCCGTTATCCCCTTTTCACTTCACTCAAACTCCCCAAGGCAGGAATAAGTTTTTTTATACCCCGTACTGTTTGCCCTACCTTCGCCCTCCCTCTCCAATTCCAACACTTTCCTCTTCATTAGAGTCCACCGGCGGGCTCCCCCATTTTGGATCTACGCCCACCTCGTGTCCCACACAGTAGGCTCAGAAAACTCTTACTGACCTCTCCCTCTTGTTCTCCTCTCTTTGTCCCTCCCACCCTTTAGTGGACTAGTGGGTCTACTCCTCATGCCGGTTATTACTTCTTCGTTCCTTCTCACTTTCTTCTCTCGTCTCCACCCCCCCCCCCCCCCTCTAATTTTTTTTTTTCTCTCTCCTCTCCCCTACCCCTCCCCACTTCCCTGACCTCCAGTGTTCCTTCCCACCAGGCTTGTTACACATAAAACTATGGACATGCCCTCCTCCAATTCTTTGTCAGGACAGTTGTCCTTAAAAGTTCTTTTGCTTAATGTTAAAGGTTTGAACACGCCTGAAAAACGCTCCCTCCTGCTTTCTTACCTGTACAAAGAGCGGATATTGTCTTTCTTCAAGAGACACATTTCCGTCAAGACTCCATTCCCAAGTTCTTTAATTACCGCTTTCCAACGGTCTTTCATGCCTCCAATCCCTTGGCTAAATCAAAGGGTGTAGCCATTCTGATTGCAAGACATCTCCCGTTGACAGTGACGGACTCTCTTCCGGATCCCGAAGGTAGATTTTTGTTCCTAATTAGCGCGTTTGCCAATAGGCCCATTACGCTCACTAATCTCTGCGCTCCCAATTCCAAGCAGGCCTCCTTTGTACGCTCGACCACTGCTTGTCTTTACGCCTTTCAGTCAGGTATGCTGATTTTGGGGGGGAGACCTGAATGTCCCTTTAAGCCCATTGCTGGACTCTTCTCCGGGCAGTTCCTTCTTGCCATACAAATCTCTTAGGCAGATTCGCATGCAACTAGAAGACCTACAACTACACGACTCATGGCGAATCCTTCACCCTAATGTCAAAGACTACACATTCTTTTCTCCACCGCACAAGAAATATTCCAGGATAGATTACTTCTTTTTATCACAAGCGGACCTTCCACTCTTCTACACCGCCTCTACAGAATCGATGGTTCTATCAGATCACCATCCCATAATCATGACACTGCGGTTCCCCGAAAAACACTCATGCTCTAAATTTTGGCGACCGGATGCCTCTCTTCTTTGGACCTAACAACTGAAGCAGAAATTCGTTCCAAATTGGCTGAATACTTTTCAACGAACCATACTCCAGACACCTCTCTTACGCAGTGGGAAGCTCATAAATGCGTCATCCGTGGAGCCCTTATAGCTATAGCCACGAAACGTAAACGGGACAGACAAGAGCATATAAAACATCTTACGGACAGAATTCATTTCCTAGAAAAAGCCCACAAACATACTCAAGCCGTGTTGACACTGACCGAACTCACGAATGTCCGCTCGCAACTCCTAACCGAATTAGGCAAGGCAGCCAAAACGTAGATACATTATGTCTCAGAAGTTATATTATGAATTTGCGAACAAAAGTGAGAAATTCCTGGCAAGAGCCCTTCGTGCAAAGAGGTCGAGTATGACGGTCCCACAAAATCAGAGGTCCAGACGGTGCGGTTGCTACTTCCAATGCCGATATCGCCTCTCACTTTTAAGAAGTTTTACAGCTCCGTATACAACCTCCCCCCTGAACATCCCCTCTCGGAAACCGATAAACCTAGGGCCACTCTGATCTTCGACTTTCTTCATCTTTATAGCCCCGCTGCTCTTCCTGAGGATACGGCCCGTTCCTTGGAAAAAATTTAGCTTCTGACTTATTGGAGCGTGCTGTCAAACAAATGAAACCTGGTAAGAGTCCGGGCCCCGACGGTTTTTCAGCAACCTACTATAAATCTTTTCTAGACATCCTGAGCGACCCCTTTCTCTCAGCCTTCAACACTTTCTCCTCATCTTCCCTGCCACAACATCGACTTTTAGAAGCGCACATCAGTCATACCCAAAGGTAACAAGGATGATACCCTGGTTTCCAATTATAGGCCCATCTCCCTCCTGAATGTAGATGTCAAATTATTTGCGAAGATTCTAGCCAATCGGCTCCTTCCCTACGCCCTTCCTTGATCAACTTGGATCAAGTGGGTTTCATTCCCGGCAGGGAAGCAAGAGATAATACCTCCAAGGCCCTCAATCTCCTCCACTGGCTTCGCCATTCCAACACCCCCGGGTTCTTCCTTTCCTTGGATGCAGAGAAGGCCTTCAATAGGGTGGCCTGGGACTATTTAAAAGCATCCGTGCAGGTGATCGGTTTGGGTGAACACATGCTCAATTTCATTATGGCCCTCTATTCTGATCCAACAGCTCGGGTGTGAGTGAATGGCCACTTGTCGGTCGAACCCCTTCCCTCTTGGGAATGGGATGCATCAGGGTTGTCCCCTCTCCTCTTTGTACTTTCTTTGGAACCTCTGCTGCGTAAAATTTGTTTGAATCCCGATATCAAAGGCCTTACGGCAGCAGCTAAAGAATACAAACTTGCTGCTTATGCGGATGACATTCTTTTGTTTCTTGTGGATCCTTGAACCAACCTGCTGAAAGATTTTTCGATCTTCCAATTTATGTCGAACCTCAAAATCAATTACTCTAAGTCTTATGCCCTTAACATCACTCTTTCGCCTGACACGGTATCTTTTTGCCAGTCTCAATTCCCGTTTCACTAGGAAAAGGAAGCCCTTTCTTATCTTGCCACACAGCTTACTTGTAAACCTAGACGACCTATATGCCAAAAACTTCATCCCAGCCATCCGTACCATACAGGAAGACCTTAAGTGGCACCGCCCTTGTTTCTCGTAGTTCGGGAGGGCCGCGATGCTCAAAATGAACGTACTTCCCCGCCTCCTCTATCTTTTTCAAACCCTGCCTATTCAATTACCGCCCGCCTTTTTTACCTCCTGTAGGAGAATGGGCTCATTGTTCCTCTGCAAACCATAAGCGTCCGCGCATTTCGTATTCCCAGTTGATCCTTCCTAAACTTAAAGGAGGGATAGGGCTCCCTGACCTACAACGTTATTATTGGGCCTGCCACCTCTCCCAAATCATTGACTGGCATGCTCATTCATCCACCAAAGCATGGGTTCACTTAGAGAACTCTTTTTCACCCTGCCCACTAGCATCGATCCCCTGGCTTTTGGCGAAGCATACACCTCAGGTCTTCCTCACACACCCAGCGCTGGGACCTACCTTGAAAATCTTCCGAATGGCCTGCAAGTCTGCCTCCATCTCTGATGCCCCTAACTTCTCTTCGCCTAAATCCTGACTTCCCTCCAGGAATGCATGAGGCCTTTCTATCCAAACATTGGCCCCATAGTCAGATCAAAATAGAACACTTTCTTCATAATGGTTGTTTGAAAACGTATTCCTCGTTGGCGAGTAGCATGAGAGATCGCACTTTCCCCTTTTGGGCTTACCTCCAAATCAGGCATTTCCTGCAAACACATGAACACCGTCAAAAATGGACCCGTCCTCTTACCCCCTTTGAATCCATTTGTTCTAAAACTGAACCCCAGAGGCATTTGATTTCAGTAGTGTACCTCCTCTTAGTTAGCAGTGGGAACCACAACTCCCTTTTATCACGCCGAGCATGGGGCAGAGACTTGGAAATAGACTTTTCCTCTTCAGACTGGGACCTGATATTTACATACTCCCATAAATGCTTGCTCAATGTTTCAACGCAAGAAAACGGTTACAAACTGGCTTCACGTTGGTACCGCACCCCTTCTAGAATTCATCGCTATAAACCCTCCCTGCCTAACAAATGTTGGAGATGTAGGACACCTGATGGGTCACTTCTTCATATCTGGTGGTCTTGCCTGATTATTCAGCCCTTTTGGCAAGAGGTTCACCGGATAGTTGTATCTGTATCCACCTTACCCCTCGACTTTTCTCTGGCCCAATTCCTCCTTCATTATTCCTCCCTTCCAAGACACCTTTATTTTAAATCTCTGGCCATGCATATGATCAACGCGGCTAAACTCTGCCTACCTGTACTATGGGGCTCCATCCATTCTCCTTCCATACGAGATTGGCTCACACGCCTTGGAAAAGTGGCGGAGATGGAAGAGCTGATTGCTTCCTCACAAGATACCCCTACCAAATTCTTCCATACCTGGGCTTGCTGGACTCACTTCCGAACAACCTCTGAATTCCGTTCCCTCATGGGCCATTCCACCTGATTTTGTGCCGAACATTTTCTAACCATATTCCCTCCTTAAATTTCCTACGCACCGGTAATAGGCATGTCCACTATTTCCCCTCCCTAGCTCTATCCCTTCCCTTATGATCCTCTAGTCCCCTCCCCTTTTTATTTCTCTCTTTCCCCCTCCTTTTCTCTCTTCTTCTCCTGGCCTTTTACCTCTCACAATGCCCTTAGATGACGCACACTCATGCTCTTACAGTATCAGTACCATACGTACCGGTGGTCTTATAAAGACATCCTCCCGCACATGGGTAACCAGGGCGCACATCCCTCACCGCAGCACCCGCTTTTCCTTATTATTGTGCTCGAGTACTACATGTTTGTTGTGACTGTTGCCTCTTCACCGTTTACCACCAACTCTATTATTTTTCTGTATAATTTGAGATGATTGTCTATGTCAATACACATGATCACCTTCTTTTGCATGGCTTATGTTATCTGCCTTCTATTCCTGCCCTCCATTCCCTTTTCCCTTCTACTCTTTTTTACCAAATGTATGCCATGTTTTGCATTTTCCTAATAAACTTTATGGAACAAAAAGAAATAGCGCAGTGCCGAATATCAAAAAATGCCCTGATCAGGGGGATAAATGTTCCGGAGGGCAAGTGGTTAATGAAGACACTCAGGTAGGACACCTTCACGTAGATTAGCTCTTTAACATTCAATCTCAAGCTACAGTTTTTCTTTTTTTTTTTATACATTTCAGTATCCAATTTGATATGAGCAACCAGCACCTTGTAAATTTCAGCCAGCTTTTAATTTCTAATCATGGTTTCTGTATCCTAGGTCATACAGCAGTTTGTTAAAATCTACAAGTGGTAATTTATTCCAGAAAGCAAATTCAGAAGTAGTTTGTGTAGCTTCCTGTACAGGCTCAGCAAAATAAGAACAGGGAGCAGTAATCAACTGTAATATGCAATCCTAGGAAAATATGTTTCCCTATCCTTTAGGAAGTTCACCCTGTAGGGCAGGCCTTGAAATTTCAACTCGCCTGCTCGCCAATGGCGAGTGGAAATTATGGTAGGGGCGAGTGTGTCCCCCAGTGCCGTCTTGCTGAGCAGGCTCGGAGCTCAGGCCGGATCTGACATTGGCACTGGGAGCTGTCAGACTGTGCAATAGCTGAGCGCAGTGAAATCAAAGGAAGGAGTGTGTGCTGTTCTCTCTGCCTCCCCCTAGAGTGCAGTACCCGGATCTGTGAGTGAACGACGAAGTACTGCACCTTTTTATAGGGTGTGTGTGTGTGTGTGTGTGTATGCATGTACATGTGTCTGTGTGTATGTACATGTGTGTATCTGTATATGTGTCTGCATGTATGTACATGTCTGTGTGTGCATGTACATGTCTGTGTGCATGTAGATGTCTGTGTGCATGTACATGTGTGTGTGTGTGTGTGTGTACATGTATCTGTGTGTACATGTACATGTGTGTGTGTGTGTGTGTGTGTGTGTATGTACGTGTGTGTGTGTATGTACATGTGTCTGTACGTGTGTATGTACATGTGTCTGTGTGTATGAGTGTCTGTACGTGCCTGTGTGTATACATGTGTCTGTATGTGTGCGTGTGTACATGTATATCTGTGCGTGTGTGTACATGTCTGTGTGTGTGTACAGGTGTCTGTGTGTGTTTGTTGGTGGCGAGTAACTCTTAAGGCCTGGCTAGTAGCTCAGGACTTGAAATTTTAAGCCCTGCTGTAGGGCATGTCACACCCGTACTTAGGCTGTAACATGCTCCAGTACCTCCCTCTGCACAAGTCCCATCTGCCACAATGCCAGGTGGCTTGTAGTTCTCAATGAACCATGAGGGCACTGTTGAGCACCTTTGTAGCTCATTGACACTTTCTACAGATTTCTAGTAGAGAGCATGTACGGAGGTATGGGCAAGAAAGCTGGAGTGTTTGCAAGAGCCTAACAATGCACTGTGATCATGGTTACAATGTTTTGCAGACTACACTGGGAAAAAAGATTATAAATGCACATTTTTTTTGCCTCCCAAAATATGTACATTTATTATTTTTCCCTGTAGGTGAGCCTTTCAGCTACTTTTTTTTTATACATCTGCAATGTGAAAGATTACAATTATATGCATTTTACCTTTGATGCAGAGCTGACAAAATTTGCTTTGAAGTTAACTGGAGAAGGGGAACGGAAGTCACCGAAACTAGGCTGCAGGGATCCTCTTCCAGCCTTGCTAAATGGCTGATAAGAAGGAATCATTGAACCAATCAGCTCAAAGCTGCTATTGTGACTGCTGTCCTTCGTCAAAGGCAGGAGAAAATCATCTTCATCTCCTGTAAGGAATTATTAAATAAAAATTATGTTAAAAAAACAAAAGATGTATCTTATGTTCGTTATTACAAGTCTACACTTACTCAAATATCTAAAGATCCATTCACACTGGGGCTTTTCAAAACGGGGGTGGAATCGCTGCGAATCTGGCTGTGATCTGAAAAATGTGGTGTGAAACCGCGCAAATCGCATGTACAGGTGCCATTCACAACAATGGCACTTGAAAATGCAGGGCGATTTTGCAGCAAACATGCTGTGATTGCGCAAACGAAATAGCGGGACATGCAACACACAAAACAGGTTCTGGAACAGTTTTCGAGAGTAGCGTGTCCTGTGTTTTTGTTAGCGCGATTTGTGGAGCGTTGAAAAAAAGCACCATGATCACGCATTCACATTTCCACGTCACGTTTTTCAAATCACAGGCAGAATCACGGCAATTATGCCTGCGATTTGAAGCACACCAGTGTGAAGAGAGTCTTAAACCGGTCCAAGCATATTTACCTAGCTTGTCATTCTCCTTGCATCCACTGTCAACATGATCAATCTTATCAGGAATGGAGTCACTGTGTTAAATAGAAAAAAAAAAACTGCATTAAATTATGTTTAAATATTCCAAGACAGGGCTTGACTTACAGTCTAGCAAAAAAAAAAAAAAAAAACAAAAATGTAAATGCAAATTTACAATATAATCACCTATGAGGTAATACAGGTCTCCAAAAAGTAGAATGGACAGGAAAATTCAACCCAACATTGATAACAGTGCCACACCAAGTGCTGCATAAATAGACTCTCAAAAGTACAGACTATCATTTGCATCAGTGCAATTTCTAATAGGGCACTACAGTAAGAGCATTCCGACCGGGAAGAAAAACAGACTTAAAATCTTTATTAACGTTTGTTTTATTAACACCTTCGTTAAAAAAAAATTAACAAAAGTGTTGCAGAAGTTTACTGAAATTGGAAAAGCACAAAAAGTGAAATGCACCATAACTAAACCCGGATGAAACCACAACTTGGTAAACATTACAAAACACACGCCATGTCTAAGTCACAAGTGCCTCAAAAGGTAATAGATGTATGGTAAAAGTCAGATGTCTGCTTCCTATTCCAAGTTTAGGTTCATTTATTAGGAGGATATAACTTTTGAAAGGAATGAGGGACCAAGCTTCAAGATAACTCTTTCAGCCTAAAAATTCTATACAGACTATGGCAGAAGGCCTATATCCCACAAGCCAGGCAAAGGTTAAGGCTGAGGATATAAAGAGGTTTCACATGTGAATATGTTTTTATTGTCAAAAGACATACATCAAGACTTTGTACATTCAGGACAAAGTGACATAAGGCATAAACAAGGCTTTATGGCCAACCAACCATCTGTGTGGTAAAGGCAGACCTCAAATATCAAGCAGACAGAGTTCAGATGCACAAATGAGAGAAGTCAATTAGGTATTGATGCTCTATGTAGCACTGCTTGGATGCAATATATGTAACCTAAAACCATTTCAGGAAATCACTTTCAAAACTTTAATAAGAAACAAAACCAATTTAACTAGAACAAAATGATCTTTAGAGTAGAATCATTTCTTTCACAGATCATACTTGTAGCACCCTCCTAGTTTAGCTAGGCGGAACTAGATCCTAATGGTTAAACAGGAGCTGAATAGCAGCACAGGTTTAACAGCCAGAGGGGTCAAATTGTGGTCAGGGCTGAGAGGCTCTGGAATTTCCCCCTACTCTGTGGCTTTTGGAGGAAGGCCTTGGAGGCAGTGGGTGGATCTGCAGTGTCGCTTGCTGCACACTGGAGGGGCCTCAGTTAATCCCCAACAGAAGGCTTTGCAAGGGGCTGGGACTCCCTTAAAAGTGTTAGAGCCTGCTCAGTAGCAGGAGTATGGGAGAGAAGGAGAGAGGAAGCTGTGAGGAAGGTGGCTGCCAGGGGGCCTAGTGGGATGGGGCCCACCTGTGAGCCGGAAAGGAGGAAAACTTGGAACTCACTGGCCCCCCTGAGGACCACCTCTACGGCAGGGAAGGAGCAGACCGGCCTGGTAGCAGCAGCCAACCCACAAGCAGTACAGGAGAGGATCTAGGCGAGTACACCTGCACCACCTGGGCGGATAGGGGAAAGAGTACACTGACGAGAAACCAGATTGGCCCCCTACTAGTGACTGTTCACCTTTTTAAAAAGGGACAGGAGCCAGATCCCCCTGCTCAGAAAAACCTCCAGATTGCTGGGTGAAGAGGAGAATTTCATCTAGGGTGGTGCATCAAGGAGACGCTGACTAGCTCTCCAATAGATACTGTTACAAAAGAAAAGCTTGTGAATCGTTTCAAGACATTGTCCTCAGTTGTCCGTTCCCTTGGGTATCCTATACCCATTTACCCTATCCCAGTTCAAAATCCCCTCAAATAAAACAAGACAAAAGCTCACGGACTGATTTCTGACTCTGGATACAAGCTCGTGTGGAGAATGCAGATTGCCTGGCTGTTCAGGACTATAGGGGGACCCAAATCTTCTAGAGACACTTAAGGGGGTAGTGCTACATACTATTGTTCACTTGGTTAGGAAACCAACAGTGAACTGTTCCAGTGCTGTATTTTACAAGTGAAAAAGGTATGTTGGGATGCAGCATCAAGTCCTAGGCAGCCAATACAAGGAATACTTTGCCAGACAGTTTTGGCAATATAAAAAACACAATCAGATTAAATGAATATACAGTGCATTCATAAAGTATTCAGACCCCCTTTCAATTTTGTTATGTTGCAGCCTGATAACACAGTTGAATTTGTTTTTCTCATTAGTCTACACTCAGTACCACACACTTCCAAGATGGCGCGCCCGAAGCAGCAGCATGACCGCCAGCTCTGTGCCCTGCACCCCATCCCCTGCCATCCAGGCCCCTGAGCCTACCGCCGAGGTCCCCACCAACACCCCAAAGGGGCCCAGGACACCTGCTGACACCCGGGAGGGGTCCGCTTCAACGTCCCAGGACACCAGATACTCCATCAGGGGCACCCACTACCCACCAGGGGCCCAGCCGCCATCACACCACCAGCCACCAGGGACACAAACAGGGGCACCCGCTACCCACTAGGGACCCTAGGCTACTATCCCACCGGGGACTGCAAGCCCACCATCCCACCTGGGACCGCCACTATCCCACCAGGGACTCAAACAGGGGCACCCACTACCCACCAGGGGGCCCAGCCGCCATCACACCGCACCGCAAGCCACCAGGGCCACAATCAGGGGCACCCACTACCCACCAGGGAGTGCAAGCCACTAGAGACCCCAGGCTACTATCCCACTGGGGACCGCAAGCCCACCATCCCACCTGGGACCGCCACAATCCCTCCGGGGATCGCAAGCCCACCATCCCACCAGGGACTCAAAGAGGGGCACCCACTACCCACCAGGGACTGCAAACCACCAAAGACCCTAAGCTACTATCCCACCTGGGATCGCAAGCCCATCACCCCACCAGGGACCACCAGCCCACCACCCCGCCCTCCGGCGCGCTGTCCCTCTGGCGAAACTCTGGCGACTCCTGGCCTACCACGACCCCTGAAGCCGCGGCCTCTCCTACCAGCCGCAGCAGACCACGGAGGAGCGCAAACTGCGCAAGGCTGAGGATCGTTGCCGCGACGCCCCGCTCCGGGTCCCGCAGATTGAAGAAAGCAGCAACCACCCCCGCAGGCACAAAGAGGGTAAGCCGCCACCGGCCCCGACTGGGGAAGCCACCTGCGCTGCCACATCTCCCCACCGTGCTCCACTCAACCGTGCCCCTGCCCCGCACAGCCCTGAGCCACGCTCCATCTGACAGAGGCGCCCACCAACGCCTAGCCCATTCCAGACATCGCCGTGCACCACCTCCAGACACCGGGCCCTCAACACCTCCCGAAGCTGTGCACTCAACGCCTCCCGACGCCAGGCCTCCAGCACCCCCGACGCCAGGCCTACAACACTTCCAATCACTGCATCTCACAGCTTGTCCAGCCGCCGCACTACTGTGCCCACCGACGCCGTGCCACAACACCCGCGGACGCAGGTCTACAGCACCCACAGACTGCAACCAGCCAGCTGCGGCCCCAGCCGCCCACCACTCCGACTCCCCTCCTACGATTGGACACTGTTGAACTCAGACATGGCATAACGGACTCTCCCCATCCTCACGTCCTGACTGAAACCTCCCTCCTCTCCGACCCAATCAGCATTCTGCCCACCCTAGCATGCCACCTGAACTCCTCCTCCTCCTCCTCGTTCTCCTGTCCTCCATCCCCAAACTTGCCTCCTTCTACCCCCTCCTACTCCCCCAAAACAGCTCTACATTGCACCCTCACTTCTTCCTTCCCCCCTCTACAGCTCTCACCACCTCCTCCTGATACTCCACTCCCCCACCGACCCACATGCCACCAACAGACCCACGCGCTCCAGCACCTCCCATTCCCATGCCACCTTCCTCACCCTCCTGCTAACCGCCGGTGACATCTCCCCTAACCCTGGCCCCCCATCTCCCCACTCCCCCTCCTGGCACCCCCTACTCACGCCAACCACCGCAACCCCCTTATTCTCATATCTGTCCCCCTCCTCCCCACATCCACCCCTCCCCTCTCGGTTGCACTCCTGAACGCCCGTTCGGTTTGCAACAAGCTCACCGCCATCCACGACCTCTTTGTCTCCCACTCCCTCAACCTCCTAGCGGTCACCGAAACCTGGGCACAGGCCACTGACTCCACCTCCCCTGCTGCCCTCTCCTATGGAGGCCTCGTCTGGACCCATTCACCCAGACCGAGCGGGCGCAGAGGCAGAGGGGTCGGTATGCTCCTACCACCGCTGAGAACCTTCCAGGTCCTCCCTAACCCCACCTCCCTATCCTATTCCACCTTCGAGGCCCACTGCATCCGGCTCTTCTCTCCCACCCCCCTAAGGATTGCGGTAATCTATCGGCCTCCTGGTTCTGCATCCCCCTTCCTAGACGACTTTGCCGCCTGGCTTCCCATCTTCCTCTCCTCCGAGAGCTACCGACCATCATCCTAGGCGACGTCAATATCCCGATCAACGCCAACAGCCCGGCGACTTCCCAACTCCTCCTTCTAACCTCCTCCTTCGCGCTCACACAGAACACACAGTCCTCCACCCACTCCAATGGAAACACCCTGGACCTCGTTTACTCCCACCTCTGCACCCCCCACGACTTCACTAACACCCCCTTCCCCCTCTGACCACCACCTCCTCACATTCTCCATCTCCCCCTCCCTCAACTCCCCCCCCCCCCCCCCCCCCCGAAGCGTCTAACCATCACCCGCAACCTCCGCAATCTGAACCCAACCCATCTCCACCCGGCAGCTGACCGTCTGTATGACAGTATCCTCCCTCTGTCATGCCCTGACCTGGCCACTACTGCATACAACGACTCACTGTCAGCTGCCCTTGACTCCCTGGCACCCCTAACCACACGTAGCATTAGACCCCCACCCGCTTCAACCCTGGCAAAACGACCACACGAAATGCCTCAAACGACGCAGTCGCGCGCTGGAACGCTTATGGCGCAAAACCAGATCCCCTCACGCGTTCTCCCTCTATAAAGCCGCCTACACCACCTCCCTCCACGCCGCCAAGCAAGCCTATTTCATAACCCTTAACACCCTCTCCACCTGTCGTCGCCGGCTCTTCTCCGCTTTCACATCCCTGCTCTCTCTCCCCCCCCCACCTCCACCCAGCACCTCACTCACCGCCCACGAGATTGCCAATCACTTCCAAAACAAGATTGACGCAATCCGTAAGGACATTGTCAACTCACAATCCTCCTCTCCACCCAGCCTCCCGCCCTCCTCCAACCCCTCAACCCTCCCCTCCCCCGACCTCATAGCCGCACTACCCCCCCACTATACCTAATGCCCCGCACACCATCACCTCCCCAACACTCCGCTCCTTCAGCCCAACTACCCCTGAGGAGGTCTCTAAGGTCTTCACTGAAGCCCGCCTCACCACCTGCCCCCTGGACCCTATCCCCTCACAGCTCCTCCAGTCACCCCCCGCTCTCCATCATTCGCTCCCTCACCCACATCTTCAATCTCTCCCTCTCCACCGGCACCTTCCCCTCCCCTCTAAAGCACACACACATCACCTCCATACTCAAAAAACCCTCCCTCGACCCACTAACCTTAACAACCTTAGACCCATCTCCCTGCTGCCTTTCACCTCCAAGCTCCTTGAGCGCCTGGCCTACAATCGCCTAAGCGCCCACCTCACTGATAACCTAACCCTTGATCCCCTACAGTCTGGCTTCCGTCCCCTGCACTCCACCGAAACCGCCCTACTTAAAATCACCAACGACCTGCTAACCGCCAAAGCCAATGGCCACTATTCTATCCTCCTGCTCCTCGACTCTCCGCGGCCTTGGACACTGTTGACCACCCTCTCCTCCTTGCCAAACTGCACTCCCTTGGCATCAGGGACGCTGCTCTCTCCTGGTTCTCCTCCTACCTTTCCCAACGCTCCTTCAGCGTCACCTACAACACTACCACCTCCCCCCTCCTTCCCCCTCTCTGTCGGGGTCCCCCAAGGCTCTGTCCTCGGGCCCATCCTCTTCTCCATCTATACCTCCTCCCTTGGCAAACATTCACTCCTATGGCTTCAATTACCACCTCTATGCCGACGACACCCAAATTTTTACCTCTCCCCCCCCACCTCACCCCCTCACTCTCTGCCCGCATCGCCCGCCTCCTAAACGACATATCAGACTGGATGTCGCTCCATTTCCTCAAACTTAACCTATCCAAAACCGAGCTCCTGGTCTTCCCCCCCCCCCCGTGCCCCCCCCCCCATCCTCTCCATCACTACTAACAACGCCACCATCTCTCCACCCCACACGCCGAAGTCCTGGGTGTCACCCTGGACTCCCACCTCTCCTTCCTACCCCACATCCAACTGCTTTCTAGATCTTGCAGGCTCCACCTCCGCAACATCTCCAAGATACGCACATTCCTCACCCAGACACCAAACAACTCGTACACTCCCTCATCATCTCACACCTGGACCATTGCATTCCCTTCTCACTGGCCTAACCAAACGAACGCCATCCCCACTCCAGTCGATCATAAACTCAGCGGCTGGACTCATCCACCTCACCAACCACTCCACATCTGCCTCCCCCCTCTGCCAATCCCTTCACTGGCTCCCGATTGCCCAATGCATCAAATTCAAACTGCTAACCCTGACCTACAAAGCCATTCACAACGCCGCCCCAAACTACATAACTGACCTGATACACAAATACTACCCTACCCATGTGCTCTCCGCTCCTCACAGGACCTCCTACTCTCTAGCTCCCTGGTCTCCTCCTCCCACGCCCGATTGCAGGACTTCTCTAGGACTTCCTCCATCCTCTGGAACTACCCCAATCCATCAGACTGTCACCCACCCTCCTCACCTTCAAGCGCACCCTGAAAACCCTCCTCTTCAGTGAAGCCTACCCCAACCTCACCTAACAACCTCCTCCACTCCTCCCACCACTCCATCCCCCACAGCCATCTCCTCCTGTATCACCTTCCCCTCCCTCCTAGATTGTAAGCTCGAAAGAGCAGGGCCCTCGAACCCCTGGTGTACTGTTTTGTTACTGTCTTGTCTCATGTTCTGTCCCCCTTGCTACTCTACAGCGCTGAGCATACCCTTTGGCGCTATACAAATACTGTATTATAATAATAATAATGACAAAGTGAAAACAGAATTTTAGAAATGTCTGATCTTATTAAAAGAAAACAAAAACCTGAAAATCACATGTACTCGAGTATTCAGATCCTTTACGCAGTACTTTGTTGAAGCACCTTTGGCAGCAATAACAGCCTTGAGACTTTTTGGGTATGACGAGACAAGCTATGCACACCTGGATTGGGGGATTTTCTGCCATTCTTCTTTGCAATCCTCGCAAACTCAGTTAGGCTGGACCGGGACCGTCAGACAGCCATTTTCAGTTTTTTTCAGAAATGTCAAAATTGCAAGTGATGTTGCAAAGGGTCCGAATACATATGCCAATGTGATATTTCAGTTATTCCTTTTTTTTTTTTTTTTTTTTTATTGATTTGCAAACATTTCTAAAATTCTGTGAAGATTAAATGAGGAAAAAAAATTAATTTAAACAACTATAGTATCAGACTGAAACATGACATTGAAAAAGTGAAAGGGGTCTGAATACTTTATGAATACACTGTAATATTATATGGGAAGACTTTAAAATAAAAAAAAAAAAAAAACTATATATTTTTCTAATTACCAGAGCAAACAGTGCTGCACTGAACAGATTGTAAAATAATGCATACGATTACAATACCCAAAAAAGACAGATTGTGCATCTCAAGCCATATCTTACTCAATCTTTGTTGAATTGTCTTTGAACAACATCAAGGTTGACTCTGTAGCTGCAGGGATTCTTCTATCTGGTATGCTACTGTTCTGTAATCCATCTTTAGCCTCATCTTCTTCATTTTCTCCATCTCCGAGGAGATCATCCAGTGTCTATAATGGAGGGGAAAAAAAAAAAAACTCACCAAACACGCCTTCAACATCCTTTATCCTTGCGTTTAGGAATATAAATATTGCTTATTAATCTTTAACAGGTTTTTCAGGCTACGCCTAAAGTAAGCTTGTAAGAGAATTAAAAGGCCCCCGATCACTTTTGCACTTTGAATGACAGTTGTGCAGTCATGCAACACTTGACCCATATGAAATTTATATCATTTTTTCAAACGAACATAACTTTCTTTTGGTGACATTTAATCAATCGTTTAATAAACGAAAAGAAAATGAAAACTTTGGAAAATTCTGTTATAAAAGTTAGCAATATTATAATAGTTGCTCATAAATTAATAGGCGCAAATTCTTAAAGTACAACTAAAAGGCAAAACTTTGTTTTAGTTCAGGACAGAGGGGATAGAGATTAGAATGCTTGTCAGTTTTTATTGCCGTCTCTTCCCCCAATTGAGGAGATTCACCTTCCCTATTTGTCCTGTTTACCATTATCATTGAAGCAATAGTAAAGTGAAGTGAAAATAAAAGAATCCCAAATTTTGGGTTGCTCCCAGAAAAGTAAGTGGAAATGTTCCAATGGAGATACTAGTTCTGGTGACCTGGGGGGTCCCCACAGAATTCCCCTCATTTTCAGGGATTTCCACCTACTTTGACTATGGGACAGGAGGTGAAGCGAAGTCTCCACAATGGGAAACATAACTAAACAAAATTGGCAGGGGTTATAACCCTCCTATGCTCGATCCAAATTGGGGGAAAAAAAAAAAAAAAAAAAAAACACAAAAGTTTTGCCTATAGTTCTACTTTAATTTCAGTATTACCTCAGCATTGTCCATTTCTTCATTTCCATCCTCCTCATATCCCTCTTCATCTTCTTCTGACTCATCTGTCATTTCTTCCTCTTCCTCCTCTCCATCCAAATCTTCATTGTCCAGCTTAAACAAGGCCTGACGCTTTTGACGTTCTTCGTCACGGCGCACCTTCATGGCCTCCTGTAACTTTGCTTTTAGCACTTGCAGCTTTTCACCTTAATATTGACAGAGAACAGTTAAACGACAGCTCCAATTTCAGCACACCAAATAATTTAAGTCATTCATTTAAATTACCTGGCTTAACAATAATTTTTTCGTCCACGTTTTCCATTTCTACAGTGACTGGAACAACATCTGCTTTCAGCTCCTCTCTACCATCCGCTGTTCTCTCTTTACGAATGATATTGAGGTTAACCTTTTTTTCAGCAACTGCTTTTACCTTGTGCATGCTATGCTTGAGAAATCTCTCCTTCAGTGCTTCAAGTTCTGCCAGAAAATAAACATAAAAACATAAAAAGTAATTTTCAACTCTTATAACCCCCTAACTCACTTTTATAATGCCTTTCACTTATCCATGGAACAAAATTTTTCTAGCTTCTTAAATAGAAAATAGTGATTAAATTATACATAAAGAAAAAATATGCATAGGGAGAAAAAATTAGTTTGCTTAGTAAGCAAGACACATTGCATATAGCTGAAAATGCACACCATTATCCAGCAGGTAGTAAGTTTGAGTGTGGTACACCAGGGTTTACTATTGCTCAATTCTGGTGTGCTGATAACACAAATCACAATATCAGAACCCCACACACTATCCCCATCCAATCAGCAATCTTTAGGACTGGAGCAATGGTGTCCACAAAAGTTTGTCCAGATTTTCAGCCTGCAACAGTAAACAGCCTCAAAGTAAAAAAAAAAAATGTCACCTTCCCTGAGAGTCAAGTCATTCTTGACTCGGATATGCTCCCCTCCCAAACATTGCAGCTTACAGTGTGAAGGTTTAACTACACAGCCAGTGCTGCCAATCCAGAAAACAGAGGCAAACTAGATGTGGTTGGTGCTGATTCACAAGCTACAGGTTTGTTATTTTGCAGTAAAAATACCAAAACCCCTCTGCAACATCTTCTCATCCCACTGTAGAGCAAGAAGGTACAGCTGATATGACAGTGGCAGTGCTACTCTGACTTCAGGAGCAGTGCAGCATCATTGCCACATCACATGAAGATGGACTTTACTGGCAATATCAACAGGTACTTATGATGCTTTTCAGAGGAGAAAACTAAGTGCAGATGCTCTTATAATTAAGTCCTGCTGCACATATTTTTTATTGGAGGCCATAGTTCTATTTAACAGCCCAGCATATTCAATACACACTGAAGAAAACTATATTAAACTGCATAATGATAACACCACCAAAACACTAAATGAAGCAGTGAGTGGTCATTTACCCACCCCCACATCACCTATTAAAGTATTATCTGACAATATAGCAATGAAATTATTTCAAACACTGAAAACTACCTTTATTTGGCTTAGGCTCTTCTAAAATGACAAAGGTTCCATCATTTGGACTGAGGAGAGGTTTAACAGATAGATCAATTCCAAGAGCACGTAGTCTTTCAACTTTTGATGGTTTGGGTTTAACCGGAGTTGGTAACTCATTTGTGCAGGCATTTTCTGTGACTGTACTTTGTTCACATGTGGTACTCTTGACCTCCAATACAAGAACATTCTGTAGAACATCATTTGTCACTTTTTCAACAGGCTGCTTGTTTTCTGAATTGATTGGCAGGCTTGAATCATCCGTACACACATGCTCCGGTGTTTTTTCAGAATTACAGATATCATTTGCTTTGCTTTCCATAAGACGCATTTCTGAATGTATCTCAGGCTCTGCTACTAAGTTGTCTAAAGCAGATTCTTTTAATATTTCAGGGTCCTGGAGGGGATCTTCTGGTTGTGGTGTAATTTGCTGTACTGGAAAACTATTTTCAACAGGCTCAGTGGAATTTGACTCAACCTTGTCATCTGGGCTGCAAGGCTGATACTTTGAAGACCTATTTAAAAAAAAAAAGTTGAGAAGTATGGCTTTCTGTAAAAAGAAAAAAATCCCCCAAAAAACCATTCATACTCATCTCTGATGCTGTATCTGTCTTCTGCCGGAAGAACTGAGCAAACACTGCTGATCGCGCTGTTCTTCCCACCGCTCTAAGCAGAGAGCCAGTCAGTCTCTGAATCTCTGCTCTGCCCTCCTCAGCTCTTACCGCAGCACGGGGGGGCTGGCTCAGGCTCTCAGCGTATTGCTGAAAGGCTGAGCCAGGTGCCGTTCCAAGCTTCTGGGTGTATCCTGACCATATGGTCAGAATCTTTCCAGAGCCTGCACTGGCTCTGTGACATCTGCTGAAAACCAGTCAGAGGAGTGCAGAACTAACTGCACTGCTGTGATCCACACGAGAAGTACAACCAAAAAAGCTTTGGCTAAACTTCTCCTTTAACCCAAATTTTCAGTAACTGAAACCCATAAATCTCAGAAAGACATATTAACCATAATCAGCCCAATTTTTTGTGTCTGCAGAATTAAAACTTACTTAATAAGTTGCATGGCATTTCCTTGGCAAAGTGGTCTTGAACGACGCTTGAAAAAGTCATGAATAGTTTTGGGTTCCGGTAAATGGTATGGTAGAGACACAGCTGACTCTAAAAGACAATTTATTGTACATACATAAAACTTAGATCTCCTAGCTGAGTGTTCTAGAATATCTTATATTCCATGGCTCACCTCTCAAGAGTCTCTGTGTTTCACTGTGCATTTGCTTTATGGTTTCCTTGCTCATACGTGCAGCTTTTCTCTCCTACAATATGAAAAGACACTACTGTCAAATACTTATAAGGAAAAGATGAGCAAACAGTTCTTAACTACAAATAAAGCTTGCTGATCTCAGTACAATACTGAATTTAGTCAAACCATATGTACTGAATTACTTCACAATATACATAACAAAATCACTGCATATATAATCGCAGGTTTTCGGTACAGGCGTACAACATGTACACTCAGCTAGGGTCAAGTGACGGGGTATATGAATCTAACTTCAAAAGAGGACCTGTCACCCTCAACTTCAAAACATTTAAAGAGCTAGCATGTTTAGAAAAAAAGAATTGCAGCACTGTCAGTATGGGGGGAGGGTGTGTTAGATGTACTAGCAGATTTGAATTCACTAACAAAATTGAAGCCAAACTCCAGCTCACACTTTATAAGCAGTTACAAAAACCATTTTTTTTTCTTCTTGGGATAAAGGTTTTGCATAAATAAAATCTGATCATTGTAAGCTCCCCTGCTAGTGAGAAATGGTTTGTCTCATATAGTCAATACATTCTGCTGGAGAGCTTGTTTTGAAAAGACAGACTTACTGGCTTGATCACCAGGTCAAAATAGAAGAAATCAAGCATAAAAATAAAATGAATGCAACCATCACATCTAAGAAATAGTAAGTTAGTACCGTTTCCACAATGTCCTAGATGCTCCTCAGCCTCAAGATCCCTTATACACATTTCATGGCACTGCCCTAAACTGCCCTTCAATGCATCAGATCAAATCCGGTTTGGTTTGATCGGATACTTTCACAAGCCAGTATTGACTTGTTTACATCCTGGCAAAAATGGAAATAACAAAATACAAATTGCTTCCAGTTTCTTAGACCGCAGAGATGATTAGGGATATTCTGGTCCTCAGTCATCTCTATGGTCAGCTAGCAGAACCGCTGACTTCAGTCCCAGGCTTTCCATTGGAATGAGAGAGCCCAGGAAGGCGGCCAGAGGGGGTGGGGGGAACCCCCTTCCACCACCTGTAAAAACGATCCAGTGGCTAAATTAGTCATTAGGATCACTTTTACATTAAAGCCCATTGCGAGCTAAAAAAAAAAAAAAAAAAAAAAAAAAAAAGCCTGGATGATGCCCGTTAGCTGCAGGAATCACAACATAACCCCTACAACCTGGCGCCGTACGGGTGTGTCACAGAGGCTGAAGTGGTTAGAAAATTTTTCCAGCTCCAGAAGTCCAACGAAAAAATCTCAGATCATCATATATCAGCATATTTAAACAATGCTGCTGAACATATTACAGTAGCAGTGGCAGCAGATTTGTCAAATATCAAGATATGCTTGAGCTTTAAACCTGCAAAGTTAAACCAGGCTACATTTTATTTATAAATAGACAAATAGGCCTTTCAAATGTGAGTGGAAAGTGGGATAGGAATTACCTGGATTTTTTTTTTCTAAAAGAAGTCCTCCAAGATAAGGTTGAAGATGCAATTGTAGCAGATATAAAACTTCAAAGACCCATAAACATTTTACGAAACTTCACACATGCAAATACAAACCTTTTTCTTCTCAAACTGATTGTTAAACCCTTCAGACTCCTCATGCACTACATCTTCCTGATCGAACGACTGAGACTAGAGGGGGAAAGAAAAAAAAAAGTTTGACTGGTTGGCTTCAAATAAAATTACAGTTTACAGATTTCAGCTCTGCATAGGAAATTTACAACTGAAATTAATAGCAGACAAATGCAATACATACATGACCAGACTTAAATTTGTTTTTTAAGCTAGCACGAATAGCTTCGAGCGACTCTTCCTCTTCATCATCACTTTCATCATCCTTATCAAATAAATCCCCATCTGCTAAAAGGCAACCACTGTCATTCAGTAATGGCCCTTCTTCAGCCTGCACCTAAAAAAAAAAAAACCGGAGAGTGGTATGACTAAAAAGTGCAAATCCAAAACTTCTGTTTCTTCATCAATCAGCTTAAAGTGGTTGTAAAGGTTAAAGGGACACTATGCATTAAGATAAAAAAAAAAAACCTTCCTGTATCAACTGCCCCAGCCCCCCTGAAATATTTACCTGGCTCCTCTTTCAATCCAGCTTTGTCCCTAAGAGCAGGAACGCTTCTCTCTCTCCTCAGAGGTAGCAGCGAGAGCCATTGGCTCCTGCTGCTGTAAATCAAATCCTGTGAGAAGGGAGTGAGGAGCTGGGCCGAGCTGCACTTGTGTCACACACACAGAGCCCAGACCAAGCCCATACATCAGTCCTCGCAGCAATCATTTGTTATGGAAGCAGACACAGAAGAGAAGGAGCCAAGATCACCTGCAGGGACCCCAGAAGAGAAGGTTCAAGGCCTCTTTACGCAAAACCATTGTGAGTAAGCAAGTACAATTCCAAAAAAGTTGGGACGCGGTGTACAATCTACATAATAGAATGCAATGGATTTGCAAATTTCAAACCCATATTTTACTCACAATTAAATATTTGATGTTTTCTATTTTCAAGAGAAATAGTACCATTTTTAGAAAAATAGTAATTTTGAAATTGATGACAGGTCTCAAGAAAGTTGGGACAGGGCAACATAAAGCTGGCAAAGTAAGTGGTACTAACAAGGAAGAGCTGGAAGAACATTTTGCAACAGGTCAGTAATATGTTTGGGTATATAAAGAGCATCTTAGAGTCAGAGTGTCACAGAGGTAAAGATGGACAATAAACATAAATAAAAAAGTGCGGGGTCCCCCCTCCCACCCATACCAAGCCCTTTAGGTCTGGCATGGATTTTGAGGGGAACTCCCAAGCCAAAATGGAAAAAAAAAAAAAAAAAAAAAAAACATTTTTGGCATGGGGGTCCCCCTCAAAATCCATACCAGACCATTGTCTGAGCATGCAGCCCGGCAGGTCAGGAAGGGGGGGGGGGGGGGGGGAGCGACTAGTGGACAGTCTTCCCAGAAGAGTTGAAGCTGTTATAGCTGCAAACTCAATATTGAACGCTACGGACTATGACTGGGATGCCATTAAAGTTCATGTGCGTGTAAAGGCAGGCATTCCAATACTTTTGGTAATATAGTGTATATGGAAATGAGAAGAATTATTGTGAGAAATTCAAATTGAGGTTCCCTATCAAGTTTAAATATATGCTGTGTAAATCCCAGCAGCCAGCCAGATAATGATACTATACCAACACTACAGCTGGCACCTAACATTTTGTAACCAGCAATGAGTTAATGCCTACTAATAACAATATTGTCTTGTACCTGTTACACTCTCGTTAAGCATTTTAGTTTGTAGTATACCTAAACTTACCTTTGACTTTTTTGGTTTGCCTTCTTTAAGCTTTTCAATGGCTTTGAATTTCTTGTTTTCCTTCTCTTTTCTTCGTTCCGATTTTCCTTTCCGTTTTTCTTCCAAGCACATCTGTTTTTTAGAATTATGGCTTCTTTTCTGCTTGCTGCCTGTAAACTCTTCCTGTGGACTGTCCTGAGAGTTTCCCCCAATACTCTTCAGCTTACCAGAATCTTCAGCAAGTTCTCTGCTATTATCTTCATCATCGTCATCACTGTCAATCAATGCCGTAAGTATTCTGCGAGGCTTCCCCTTCTCTAAAAGTTTTGTTCTCTTTGTCGCCTTCACTTTCAGAGTCAAGCTCATCTCTAGCAGTTATAGCGCTAGTCTCTGCTTCAGGATCGCTGTCACTCTCTTCAAATAGTTTCTTGCTCTTTGTTTTCTTAAGTACCAAAATTTCATCATCTGAATCTAAAGATGTTAAGAACAATTACTGTGTTGTTTTAACTCTCCTACTAACGACAATACAGTATTAAATTATGTGAAAGTTTAATAAAACATGAAAGCGGAACTTGAGGCAAATGGCCAAGAGCACATTTGAAATACAGATTACTAAACTGTTTTAACCTGACAAAGGACAGTACCCTTCACAGTCAGACAAGTTGCATCCTTAGTTCCC